ATTGCCTAAGCCTCGAGATTTAGCTTATAGATTTCCATTACTTTGTGGCATCTATGATCAAAATTTCTGGTTTTGCCTAATAATTTTGTGGATAAAATTTTGAGTTAGCCGTTTTTAAAAATCGGCTCAAATCGAGCCATTTAACTACACTATTTTTTACCATGTATTTTTTATAAACTAATTAAAATTACCACAAATACAATTTATTATATAACAAATTTTTTATAGTATCAATTTGTAATATAAATATTTGTTCAAAAGATAAAATAAATATGCTTATTAAATGATAATTCTCGCTGAAATATACGGTAAAATACCGAATAGGTGAATTTTTATATACAACACCAGGTCGAATATAATTAAAAAATCCAGGCAGGGCCAAAAAAATTTTTTAAATAAAGGCTGGGCCTAAAAAAATTTTTTCAAAAAAATCGGTCGGGACGGGCCGTGGAAATAAGACCTCTGCAGGTCTCTGATATATGTTATAATATTTTATACATAATTTTTTTTTTATAGCAGTCTTAATATTTTTTAATATATATATATATATATATTTAAATTAATTATTTCAAAAAATTTAAATAATAAATAAACGGATAAGATCTTGTTTGTATTGAATTACTAAATAAGATATAAAAAATAATAATGAATTTTTAATGTCTAAAGTTTATTTATATTTTTAGCCAATTTGCGAAAACACAAATATTTTCACACCCAGAATCCCTATCCACTGTATCTGTTAAAGTACCCGATACATTATATGGTTCTAGGAAATTAACTGCTGATGAAAATTTATATTGTAATAAATTAATACTTGGATATTTGATAAAAAATAATATTGCCTTTCATACAATAGATAGTCAATATTTTAAGGACATATTTAGATATTTAAATAAGAATGTCAAAATATGGTGCAGGCAAACTGCCATCAAGCACCTAGGCTCATTATATAATTGTGCCAAAAACAAAAATAAACATTTTGAATCAAGAAGAATGTCAGTTATCATTAATTACAGATATCTGGACTGGGCTAAATTTTCTATCATATTGTGCACTAACCGTCCATTTTATAAATAAGGATTGGAAGTTGAAATTTTTTTTACTAGATATAATAAAAATTCCCGCATCCTCACACGGGAATAGATATATTTGAGTTGATAATATCAACTCTTGAGGAATTCCAAATTGAAAAAAAAATATTATCTATAACCCATGATAATGCTGCAAATGTTATAGTAGCTGCCGATTTGTTAGTAGATTATTTCATAAATAATGGTAACGCCAATGCAAATAATAATAGATGCTTAGCACACGAAATTAATATTATCGTTCAAGCGGGCTTAGACAGCTTATCTACTCATCTTGCCAAAATACATATTTTAATTAGCAAAATGCATAAAAGCCCAAAGTTTATGCAAGAGTATATCAATTTAAGTGGAGGTTGTAGGATACCTCTAGATATAGCCACTAGATGGAACAGTATGTATTTAATGATAACTACTGTTAATAAAGTAACATTTTATTATTTGATATTTTTTATAATCATTTTTTATTTTTTGTAATCTTACTTTTTGTTTTATATATATTCTAATTTATATTTTAGAAAATGTATATATACCTTAAGAAAAGAAAAAGAAATAGACATAATAAAGTTAATAATAAAATATATTTTTATTTACTCGCACGTTTTAGCTTCCTCCTTTCTTTTCATTGTGCCCTGGCTCTGGGTGGTGGACTAGAATGAGATGACTACCTAACCTATGGAGATGACTGCTTAACCTATTGAGATGACTACCTAATTTATTGACATGATCAATGCCTAATCTATTGATGACTGCTTAACCTATTGAGATGACTGCCTAATCTATTGAGATGACTACCTAATTTATTGACATGATCAATGCCTAATCTATTGATGACTGCTTAACCTATTGAGATGACTGCCTAATCTATTGAGATGACTACCTAATTTACTGAGATGACTACCTAATCTATTGATATGACCAAGAATCAAACCTTAGCACGTTCTTTCATGCAAAATGCTTCTTTCTTCATGGTGTCCTGGCTCTGGATGTTGGACTGGAATATGATAACCAGCACCTAACCTAATGTGGCAACCTAGAAAGAACCAATATGAAAGTTGAACGTTAGGTTATGAATTCTATTTTGTGAGACCAATGATGATTACTTATTATTCTAATCCTAGAAGAAAAGTTATTATAAATTAAGATTTTATGCCGGGATAAAGGCATGTTATAAATTTTTAAAATCACTAAAATGTAAAATCATAATGGATATATTTGAACACACAAAAAGCCTTTAAAATATTATTTACTTAATTTCTTAGTAAAATATTGATATTTTTTGATTTCTTGAATGATGACCAATTGTTGTAAATTAACTAAACCTAAAGATGAATTCTTAGATATAATTTAAATAAACCATTAAAAATTCTAAACAAGAAGATAAAACTTTAATTTTAAATATATTAAAATGTAATTAAAACATATGAATTAAAAGGGATTGATTTAAATAACCCTAAGTAATACTTAATATGATAAAAATGTTTTTGAAATAAAGCTTTTGAAGACAAGTGGTTATGTTACATCTTCATTTTAGATAAATATTTAAATGATGTGATGAGATCATTTTCTAAAAATTATCTTAGGAAGAATTTTTATTAAAAATAACACTTTTTGAATTAAAACTAGGGTGTGAAATTTAAATTTTTTATTTAAAGAGAGGGAAATGTGAATAATATTTTATTTGCATATTTTAACCTCGGAGATTGAAAATAAATAAAAATAAATTAAATACTAAAACGCAAAAATTAATTAAACACTAAAACGCGAAAAAATAAAAGTCATTAAAACGCGAAAAATAAAAACGCGAAAAATAAAAAGGCTAAAAATATAACAATCTTATTGATTTATCATTCTTCACTTATTTTTATATCTTGATGAACTATTATTTCTTATTATTCGCAACTTACTGATGATAATAACGATTTTGAAAAATGATAATAATAACAACTGAGCACTAAAAGCAAGCTACATGAAGTCACGATTTGTAAAACATTCGATATGGATATTAAGCTCACGATTTAAACCAACGTGAAAAATCGATTTAAACAAACCAACGATTGGGACAAGCCAACGTTATGATGATTTGTGATACAACTTGATTACCAAAACGATAAACTACTTGGACAACAAACTCTCTATGACTTCTCAGATGAATTTATGGGAAGGCTTTCAGAAGAGGGAGAATGTTACATTATAGTGTAATTTTTAACCTTACTTTTACTTTTGTTTTTTTGCATACAAACTTTTTATAATCTAATTTTGTAACTTTACTTTTTATTTTTTCGTAACGTTATTTTTTATTTTTTGTAATCTTACTTTTTGTTTATATTTATATTCTAATTTATATTTTAGAAAATGTATATATACCTTAAGAAAAGAAAAAGAAATAGACATAATAAAGTTAATAATAATAAAATACATTTTTACATACTGGCACGTTTATCATGATTTTCTTCAGGAGGCAAAGTTATTGATTGAGCTAGGATCAAATTAGAACGCTATCATTTTTTAAATAAAATATTTAATATTATTTTTTATATAATCAATAGTACAAATATTATTTTTTTATAAATTATATATCTTATAATAAAAAATGACCTTCAAAAAATATTTGTTTTATTGAGTCACTTCTAAATAATGCAATAATAAAGAACAGGGAAACTTTTTATGGGCTGCTTTACGTTATTTTGGCTATTTAGAAGGGTAAGATATAAAAAAAATTAAAGATGTTTTGGAAAATAAGGCAAGATTATAGGATTTGCAAATGAATTGATCAAAATGTAGGCCAAATTTGCAAAACAATGAAAATAAAATTTTCTAATAAGATTTAAGAATACTATCATTTTGGTTTAATTTATGTGCTAAGAATAAAATTAACATAAAGAAATATAGTTAAAATTGAATCAAAGGTGATATTATTAAATTCAAATAAAATATATGATAATTTAAAATATTTATTCATAATTATATCAGAATTCACATTAAAATGAAAAGTTGTTTATTTTTTTTATTCGACTTATATAAATTTCTTTTGATGGAAACAAAAGCTTAATGTTTTATTATCTTTAAACTCTTTTTCTTCTACAAATTTTAACTGGCCCTTAAAAGGGCCTTTGGGTATTATATGGAGGTGTTATTGTTTATTTCTATTGTATACTTTTTGACTTTATTGTCACTTGCTACATAGAAGCCTTATTTTGAATATAATAAACATTGTTTAATCTAAATAATTATTTTATTATAGTGTTTAGATTTTTTATCTTAACTTAATTGAAATATTTTAACCAATAAGTATAAGAAGTAAAACAACTTAAGATTGAATTTTAAAATTTATTTTAAATTGAAATCCAATGGGTAGATAATATTTAACTTAGTTCAATAAGCAATTAAGCCAATAAGTCAGTTATGCAATAGTAGTAAGAGTAACACTATAGATTGTTAAAAATAGAATTAAATAAAATTAGAGAAGCTTATATTAGCTACTATGGTTTTCAAGATTCTTTGGAATAATTTGGAAGCCAATTATTTGAAGAAAAAAAGTTTTATTAGTGAATTTTCATCAGTGAGCAAAATTTTAAGGTCTCAGTTTTGATAAAATACATGCATAAAAAATAAAATCAACCTCTGAGTGATAATATATGAAATTAAATCAAACTGACTAAAATATGTTATAATTCATTGGGAATTATTTATATCTCATTTATGCATATTCTTAGACAACATATAAATTGATAAAAATATTTGTTTCTTAAAGTATTGGATAATATTAGCTATCTTTATACCTGCAAATCATTAAATGATTCAAATTGAGCCCCAACCTATTAAATAGATTATAGAGTAAAATAAAAATTTTAGGTAAAACTTTTAATAATTACATTTCAAATCAATAGTAAATATATTCTTAAAAATATTGTTACCTCTAAATTTATTTGACTTGTAGAGGTTATATTGTCTAAATCAAAAAGATCAAAATTGCTTTGATGTGCATCCATAAGAATCTAGTATGATATAAGCTTTTTAAAAAAATATTATTATTAGAGATTTGCTATAAGCTAGGCTGAGCAACCTCTTAAAATATATACATGGCCTGTGGATTTTTTTGTGCTAATATTTATATCATAATCTTGAATTAATAGAGAGATGGTAAATAAGAGGTAATATATTTAATTTAACCATTCCAAATATCACAAATAGTTTTTATTTGTATGTTCAACTACATACATTTTTGATTAGGGCTTGTATTTAAAGAGAACTAGGGTGGGCCTAACAACTTAAGTAAAAAATTTGAATAGGGTGGGTAGCACAAAGGCAAACATTTAACCTGTCCAGTGTGCCTGTATAAGCATAACTATAAATTTAACAATTATTCTTTTATAATATAAATTGAGTATAAAAATACTTGGCTATCAAGGTACTGTAAAATGAACAGGTACTGTAAAAGGAATAGGTTCTGTAAAAGGAATAACCTATTTCATTAAATTTTAAATATTGTGTGTATATAAATACGATTACTTTTATAATATAAATTGAATGTCCATATTGAATGTTTAAATAATTGTTTAGTTTTTCAAATAAAATAATTATAAAACGAACATTTATAAACGAGAGCTTTCGTAATTTTACTTATTTATTTACCAAAAAATAAATATATGACGTATTTTGGCGTGCTTGTTAATTTATGAAAAACATGAAAAAATAGTGCACGCTACCGTGCATTATCATTACACTCCACTTTAAGTTAAATGAATGCGCGTTACATAATAAACATATACTATTTAATAACCAAAATATATAATATTAATTTATTAATTTCTAATATAACACTTCAGATAAATTTTTTATGCATATTATAAATAAATATTAACTATTTAATAAAGTGTCTTAGTTATTTTGCTTAATTTTCTTAAGGGCCAATTCAAAATGATTTTTACATTCATAATATTTATTATAATTAAAGAAATAAAATACTTATGAATTTAATATTTTAAGGAGTTGTGCTAATTATTAATAACTATTTAACCTTAACATTTAGCAACCCTATCCCACTTATGGAGAAAATTTAAACCATTTTTACTTTTATTAAGATATCATATTCCCCTGTAAAATCTGGATCTCTTGGTATTAATTTTATTAATTAGTTTTATTTTATTTATTATTTTTAATATGTATAATCAATCCTTGTTTGTAATATTCCATTTTTTATGCTTATTATTAATAATAAATATCAATATTTAAAAGAATAGAGTTACAATATAAATCTAATAATATTCTATAAGATATAATATAAATTCATCAAAATTAATATCAATATTTAAAAATATATTATTAAAATTAATCATAATTCAGGCACAATATACAAATTTATTTATTCACCATTAAATAAATTTGTTTTGGGCAATTTCTGACGAATATTGATATTCGATTTTCTATTTTGATTATCATCATAATGATGAAATTTTCTTTAAATCGAGTTTTTTACAAAAATATTTAAGATAGAGTTACAAATTTTATATCATTTTATAGCCCTTAAAATTTTACGTTGGAAAATATATAAAAAAAAAATAAATTCAAGTGTTTTCCTATTTCCGAGAAATAAAAAATTAACATTGTTAGGAAGGGATTTTTTTTCGGTGTTAATATTCATTAAAAATGTTTATTACCTTTATATTAAATGATTTAATAAAAAATCTCGATAACCATTTTTGTTTATTTAATTATATTTAAATATATAAAAATAAAAAAATGTAATATAGATGGCGTTATATTAAAATATTTTTATAATATATAATTTTTAATAAAAATATGAATAGTATTGTGATTAAAATTAAAAAATCAATTGAGTATAACCAAGAATGATGTCCTGGGGCGATATGTAAGCAGGCAGCCCATACAGATATTATTTTATTGACACTATTTCAAACTATTATAATTTTTCGCGTATTAATAGAAATTCATAAAGCCATAATTTGTAGATACATCCTTTTATTTTTATGGATCTACTATCGTTATTATTTGAAATTAAAGATTTTATCAGTTTATTTATTTTTTTTATATCATCTCCCAAAATAAAACTTTGGCGAACAATTGATCAGGAAACTGTAAATATTATATAAAAATTTTACTCCTCTGATGAAGTTAGCCGCGCGATCCCGGGAAAAAGGACTATAAATCCATAATAATCAAAGGGAAAAGGGAGCAGTCTCAAAAAAGATTAATTTTAATCAATTTTAAAGAATTATAAATGCACCCAATAATTAAAGTTGGATTTTCTAAATTTGCAGATTTAAGGCCAAAAAATTGTATTCTGGCTGGATCCAGTGGAACACACAGTGTGTGTGTTTGTGTAATTCATCAAAATTTTAAGCTTATGTTTGTAGATGCTAATTTGGCAAAACTATTAGCTGGGCCAGAATATCCATTACATAACTATAAAAATATTTTAGCCCAAGCAATATGCAATCCAGCCCTCCCTATTTGTTATTTAGAAGATTTTACCTCAATTAAATAAAAAATTAGATGATGTATTTACCCAAAATGACATAGATCATATATCCTTTAAACAGTGGGTATCTGTTGATAGAAGTAATCTAGAAACAATAACAAAATCTTCTCAAGAATTCTTAATTTTTTTTAGAAAAAATTCCACCTATGCTATCTCAATTCCTTTATCGCTACCAATCAATCATCATATATTTCAAAACTTAAACATCTTTTACAACCAAATTAATTTATGATAATTTGTGATTTCTCTAAAAATTATCCATTTATAATCCAAGACGCTGTTCAAGGATCCCACTGGAATAACAATCAAGCCAGTATCCTTCCTATGATAGCATATTATAATAATAATGGCAATATAGAAAACCTTAATTATGTGGTAATATCAGAGTCACTTCAATATGATGTTATTGCAGTACATTTATACCAGACTAAAATGATAAAGTTTTTCACCAATCAATTCAACAAAAAGCCAAACATAATATATTAATGCTCTGACGGATCAGCTACGCAATATAAAAACAGAAATTTTTTTATAAATCTGTGTTATCATGAATCAGATTTTGGTGTAGCAGCTGAATGGCATTTTTCAGCTACATCCCATGGAAAAGGTCCATGTGACGGCCCTGGCGGAACATTAAAAAGATTAGCAGCACGTTCAAGCCTTCAGCGCATCAGTTCTGGCCATATTTTAACGCCAATTGATTTATATCAATTTGCAAACAAAACATTCCATTAAATTTTACGTATATAACAAACGAACAATACAATTTGCAAGAGATTAAACTTCGTGAAAGATTCAGTTTAGCACGTCCCATTCCAGGAACTCGGGAAATACATGCTGTATTTCCTTTGAGTTAAAGTAAGCTTAAATCAAAAATATATTCATATGCAGAGGACTTTCAAATTAACAGTATCTCAAATGCTGATAATTTGCCTTTTGCCGATAATTTGTTTTTTGCCGATATTAAAGGATTCGTAACATGTGTTTATAACGATTTTTGGTGGTTAGCCACAGTACTAAAAAAGAATGAAATTACTGAGGAGATATATATATCCTTTTTACATCCCCATGGACCATCACCATCCTTCTTTTACCCCTCAATTGAGGAAAAGATATGGTTACCCATTAATCAAATAATAACGATAGTAGATTGACAGGGACGTACCTACAAATTATCGTCTCAATAAATTCTATTAATAAGAACAAATTGGGATAAGATTAAAACAAGAGGTATTTTTTTTATAATTGTTTGTGTATAAAATTTTAAAATATGTTTATTTTACAATATAGCATCCAAATAAAATAATATCTGTATAAGCTACCTGCTTACATATCGCCCCAAGGCCATCATTCTAGATTATACTCAATTGATTTTTTAATTTTAATCACAATACTATTCATATTTTTATTAAAAATTATATATTATTAAAATACTTTAATATAACGCCATCTATATTACATTTTTTTATTTATAAAAATAATAAAAATTCAAATCAAATTAAAAAAATAAAAATGGCTATCGAGATTTTTTATTGAATCGTTTAATATAAAGGCAATAAACATTTTTAGTGAATATTAACACCCAAAAAAATCCCTTCCTAACAATGTTAATTTTTATTTTTACCGAAAATAAGAAAACACTTAAAATTTTTAATTTTTTTTTATATTTTCCAACGTAAAATTTTAAGGGCTATAAAATGATATAAAATTTGTAACTCTATCTTAAGTATTTTTTTAGAAAACACGATATAAAGAAATCACGCAAAATCACGCACTTCGCGATTTTCGACTTTGAAGGCGTATATCTTTGGATCTGGTTGAGCTAGCACTCTAAAATTTTGATTTTATTGACATTTACAACATAAATAACTAACATGCAAAGCTTCATTCATTTTTGAGATGGTCGGACGAAAATCTCGTTTTTTTGGTCGATTTGACGTGAAATCACCCTGTTATAAGAATTTGATAATGGGTGAAAAGTGCTTCTTAATTAAGCATGTGATCAATAAGTTCATGAAAAATATGTATTTAATTTAAAATGATACAATCCAAATGATTCTTCAAATACACGGAATGCACTTTCAGAAAGTTGGCATAATATTGATACACTTTTAAAAGGAATTATTAACCCCTGTTTGTTTTTTATTTTTATTAGAGTATAGGCATCACTATTTTTATAATATTGATTATCGATCATAGCTGTTATGCAGGTATAACATGTTACTTTTTTCAGATATTAATTTCGGTATTATATACCCTGCTATATGTGTTGATACATTTTCAAGGTAGAATAATATTGTAGCAATGTTTGGAACAAATGTCAACAAATTTTAATAAAAATTTATAAGATAGGTATTGTCGATTGGAATACAATTACCTGTGTTAATTTCCAGTTATGCTACTAATACGTCTCTTACGGCCGATTGTAATTGATAAGCAGAAGGATTATTGTTAAAAACTCCTCTGCTGCATAAATAACTTTAAAAAAGTTCAAGGTGATCTTGTGAGGTTTTATAGGTTAAATCATAACAAAAATATTAAAAGTAACAAAAAAAAATTATTAATAATTAAAGTTAGTCTTAAGAGGTATGCAAATATTTTAAAATAAATATGAAAAATATATGTATAACTAGTAGATACCTCGTCAAAAATGACGGGGAATGAGAATTTTATCCGTATTTTTACGAAAAATGTTACCTTTTATTTAAAAATCATATCCAATTTTATTCTTTTAGGTCAAGTTTACCCTGTCATTGAGTCCAACCCATTAAGACTAAGAGTGGAAACTATTTTTTGTCAAAATATATTTTAATGAGCTTTTACCCCATATCAAAATTCTTTGTAAATATATTACCGATAATATAAGACTAACACTGAAAAATCTCAAGCCAGTTCCAAGCTCACAATATTTGGAAAAAATTTCTAAGCGTCCAAGACCTTATAATTTTAAAAATTTTCTCAAGGCCAGCTCAACCCATAATAATTTTGAAAATTTTTTCCTAGCCCGGCCCATAATAATTTGTAAAAGATACCAAGTCAGGTGCAAGCCAATATTAATTTTGAGGAATATTTCCCAAGCCCAGTCCAACCCAAAATAATTTTGAAAATTTTTTCCCAAT